TGAACTCATACAACGACTTGATACTTGTGAATGTTTTGTTAAAATAAAGGATTAACTTCATCTTTTGTGGTTTGACTGATAATTACGTAATATTTGTTAGCTAGATGAAATAGTTTCCAGTATCGAGCTATTCTACTCAAATTTGTTAATTGAGTCGTTTATTATTGATCAAGAAAGATGGTTGATCTGGATTTCCTTGAAACAGTCTTTGAACTTGAATCATATATTCAAGCCTATGAATTTGTTTCATGATCTATACTCTTTCATTCCAATTAAGTGGACGTCGAACTATATCTCATGTTTAATTTAAATGTGAATATGTAGTTCAGAAGCCGTGTAATGGTGACTGTTTGTTAGAATAAAGATGAATCTATTTATAAGCGTTGAGATATAGCAGCAGAAAAATATACGGTGAGTAAAAACCTGAAATTCCTTTTTGTTCTATGCACAACTGGACAATATCGGAAAGAAAAACGATGTGTTTTGTTGCGAGAAAAAACTTTATATACGATGTTGTTGAGAGGAAAAGCCTCACTGAAATGTATGAAGTTCTAACTTGACGATGCGAATTTCGTTTTTTTTTCTTGCTGTTGCCAATGCACTTACTGCTGATCCAAATCGTTATGTTATTATTAAGGACAAAGGATCCCATTATGGTTGTGTCATTATTTTTAATCAGTTTTTTCTAGTATAATAGGGAATATACGTCTGTAGGTGACATTAAATCTATCCGCAGAAAGAGAAAAAGAATAATTTGCTTTTCGATAATAACACATTAGATTATTCGATGTTGTTCAAGTATCTTTCAAAACAAACTGCTTCCAATTTCTTAGATATCGTGAATGAAAAGAAAAATCTATTATTTTCTATAACTTCTTGATATGTGTACACAGTCGCAGCAGACATTTATCAAAACTTATTCAAAGCAACAAGATGAGAAGTATCAAGTTAGTGATGTATGTTATATTCATTGTGGTATTTTTGGCATCGTATTGCACTGTACGCGAAAAGAAAGATTCCATCCAACCTGATAAGAAACGTAATTGTATTCCTATTGGTGATCTGTGTAACGATGTTTCTAAGTGTTGCGATAATATAATGATTCCGATGTTGATCATTGTGTTTATTGTCGTAATAGCTGGCCTTTTGCTCGTCAGTACCGTTGTGATTGCAGTTCTAGTGGTGCTGTTACTACTACTGATGATGGTTTTGATCGTCATTGTAATCATTGTCATGTTAGTATTGCTCGTCCTAATAGTTGGTTTGCTCGTGGTAAAAATATTCATCCAAAAAAAACAAAGATGTTCAGTAAGTACATTGTTTCAATTGTAACTGCTCGCCAGAACGTTTTGATGTTTCTTCTACGATTTTTATACTTATTTTTAGTTTTATTTGATTCTATATTTGATGATCTCGTCTGACTTTTTTCTTCGTAGGTAATATTAAACAAAAGCAACTCAATACTAAAAATCAAACAAGGCTATCAGTTATTATCAATGTCAGTGAATACGATTGACTTTCCAGTATTCTTCTTTCAAACTTTCATCCAGCTGTTTTTCCTCGTCTTGTCTATCTTTTCACTGATTTCAATTCTAATAAAAAAAATACACGTTGGAAAATATGTTTCATGCATTAGACGAGCTTTGAAGTATATAAGATATTTGGACCTTCTTTTGATGTAAGAATCTTTTTTAATGTCGTTGGAACAATTTATCAGTCTATTTAAATATTGTTACTTATACGCTTTCCATGAATATCTATAAATAGAAACTGTTGAATTCTCTTTTTTCTTGACAATAATTTCTGTGCAATTCATTTTATTTGCTTTCAATTTTTTGCTTTAAAAATAAATTAAGTCAAAGTTATGCGTGACTTCATTCACTAAAGCCATGCCCGGTTAAGTCTTGTTCTAAAATGAGTCAATTTTTTTCCTATTTACCATATAAAACAGCTTCGTAGTGAGAAATTTGTTCAAAAACTTTTAAACCTAAACCACGACCACCTGGATTATCATTGTTTACTAGTGCTTTGTATTCGATATCAATTTTATATTGTTGATTCCATGCTTCAATTTTAGTATGAATAGAATATATTTTACTATCGACAATTTGACATTCTAGTAATTTCAAATGATATCGATTTCCACATAGAGTTCCAGTTTCAATTCGTTGATCTTTCCAACCAATAAATATATATCAAATGTAATCATCTTCGATTGCTGTAGGTATATGATAGCTACCTAAAACCAATGAAAATTCATTATCAACACGATGACACTGTGCCCAAACCCAATTAAAAAGATTTTTAGGTCAAGCTCCATAATTATGATCATGATAAGCAGTAGTATT